GCGCATGCTGGCTAAAAGGCCATTTACCCTCCATTTCATCTGTGTTAAATTCAAGTAATGTTTCCAAGTAATACTCTTCATTCTGTCTCCATGGGATGCTGTGAATAAAGGCAAATTAACAAAGATAAATATTTAAGCAAAATATTAAATATTGTATCTAATATTAAAACAATTCTCAATATGAACCTACCAGCAGGTAATGCAAGCTGGAACCGCATTTTACATGTTTTAAGATGAAATATAGTGGACAAAAAGAGATGTAAGATGCATATCAGTTTCTGTATCTTATATTTAGAATGGTATTTTTAATATTTAGAAACGCATTTGTTGTTTTTGTGGTATTTGGATCTTAAGTGGCTTTGCTTTTGGCCTCTGAATGGAACTCGCTATTGCATAGCTGAGGTGGTGGTTGAAGAGCGAATCCTTTGCCAAGGGTCTGAACTTCGGGCTAGAGAGGGAAATTTGAGTAATATTTCCCCTGTTTCGCATGTATCTTAAGTCAGATAACATGCGAAGTGTGAGTTTTAAGGTATTTCATTGTCAGGATGAAGTTATCACTTTTTTTTTTTTTAATCTCCTTTTTGATGATTTAATTAGAAGTGAACCGTATGCCTAGTCATACTCCCACAGGAGTCAGGAAGCTCCTCTTGTTTGCGGTAATGCAGAACAGGCAGCCCAAAAATGAGATCAGATTGTTTCCTTGTCTGCCTCAAACCTGATCACTTGTATGGTGCATGCTGGGTTGTTGCCTTTTGTTTTGTTGGGTTTAGTTGTTTTGGATCCCAGACTCGTTGACCTGCGCAGGAGGTTGAGGTTGGGGCCCTGAAGCTTCCCCTCTCGGGGCGGCGGGAGCTCTTCTCTGCTCTCGTGCAGTCAGAACCGTCTTGTGCAACTACTTCTCTTGTAGGTCTCCAGTTTCACTTTGAGAACAGCCTGCACCATTTGAATACTTTGAAGATGCTCTGTGATTTAATGTGGGGGTTTTAGCAATTTTCCTTTATATCAGAGGCAGAGGTTACAAATGCCTAAGAACAGAAGAACAAGGTATTGCACCCAGAAGCATCCTTTGCTCCTTAAGAATCCTGGTCTGTATTTCACGGAAGCATTGTAAGTTTCCTAGAGCTTGAATAATTGCTGTTATTAAACTTAAAAAAACCCCAAAACAAACAAACCTCAAAAAATTGCCAAGGCTTAATGAAAATTGATCTAGAAAATAAAGTAGAAAGATGAAAATGTCCGCTTTTGATGTAACGATACTTTCTGTATTGAGTATTAAGTAAACTGAGATACTTTAAAGTGTTTTTGTTTCTGTATTTCATTCTGTATTGATGCCTAGGACAGCAAGGTTTTTTTGAAGAAAGTGAGAGAATTAAAAATAAAGTTACTTGTACGTCCAGTGCTTGTTGCAACTAAATTGTGTTTCCTTGTGAAAATGATCCTTCCATTTGAGTTTGAAGTTAAGAAATGCATCTATCGCTTGTGTAAAGCACAAACCAGGTAATTGTGTTGGCAGGTGAGGAGGGTGGCGAGTGCACTGTAACCAAATATCCTTTTGCAGTTGGAGACCTAACTTCATATGAAACTATTAGATTTGAAGAATGCTGTGAAAAGAAATCACCATAAGAATAGCAATATAAACAGATACGTGAAGAGTTGATTCAGGAAAGACTTAATCTGGACTAACAAAAAGGAGTTGTAAATCAAGGTTGAGGTATTTTAGTAACAATTAAGTGCAATGACTATACACTTTTCTTCCAGAAATTTTACTGGAGAGGTAATAATCTTCTATTAGCCCAACTGATGTAGCCGAAAAAAAGATTAATACTTGAGTCATTTCACTTCCATTGTCATAAGGATTTTTTGATTGCATCATTACAGGAATGACAAATAATGATAGCTCTTTATAGGACATCACTAAAAGCACACTTAAATATTATATTAAAATTCAGTGGAGGTTTTCAGTGAAAAATACTTCAGGGGGACTATTTGCCAAATTTGTATGTCAAACTTGTATTACCTTCTAGCAGTAATGGCTCCATTGTGCAGTTAACTGCAGGTAGAAGTCAGAAATTGCTGTGATACATCAGTGATAAGGGGCCAGTGTTTTTGGAACACTATATAGCAACTAATGATAACAAATAACAAAGTACCAAGCAATGTGAATGTGCCTCTTCAGTAACTGATCTGACATTTCAGTACAAGTGAGAACTCGTGGAATTTTAACAAACTTCAAAACCACAGTGCGAAAGGGTAGATAGCCATAATGTTATTTGCCACGCTTCATGTATTTTTGATATGCTAATTACATGCTGTATAAGTTTGTCTGTTTAAAAGCTAAATTTTATAAGAAGAAACCCTAAGGCAATAATCTTCTTTCAGATTGTTGTGCTTGTGTTTAGAGTAAGCTTATGTAAACTGAAGGCATATATGCAGGGTTTTTTTGAGATAAGAATCTATGTTCCAGCAACCAGTAATTATACAATAAACAATTAACTGTTCTAATAAATACAATGTTTTTATTGAAAAACAGATTCATTTTTGAGATTGCGGTTGCATTAACTGTGACCTGGGAGTTTGTATTAAAAAAAAAAAGCTTCATATACTTTGAGTGTTCTTATGATGCTCATAATTAATAGAATTTTGAGATTCTAGTAATTAACGAGGTTTTTGAGATACTAAATCTAGAGTTGTTTTTTTCCTAGAGATTATTTTTGGCCTGAAAACACTTCAAGTGGGAAAAGGAAGGTATTCCAGCGTATGAGTGATATACGTAGTATGACTTCATAGTTTGCATTTTAAATGTGTATGAATGAAAAGTCAACATCACATACTTTTACACAGGTAAATGCTTTAAGAAAACTTGAAAATAAACCTGACTAAAACCTATTACACATGGAAAATTTTCACAAGAGCAACATTTGTGTTGGTGAAGATAATTCTTGCTAACAATGCATGTACTACCATAGTTCAGTTTAGAAACTTATTTTCTTGTGTAGTGCACTTTTATTTTTAAAAAATCTGAAGAAAACTTCATGTGTCCTAGGTTTTATGTTTTTTCTGGCTATGCAAGTTACTTCAAAAAAAAACCAAACCACCTTAACTTTGAAATTTGTCTTGTAAAAATATTTACATTTAAATTGGCTTTATTACATGCATAATGTTTTAAGTGCAGAACATCTTTGTAATTGTTTTGGTCTGGAAATATTACAATTTTTTAATGCTGTAAATCAAAAAATGACCTAGTATCATGCAGTCATGCCTGCCAGTTGTCCGTAGTAATGATGCAAATCATTACATTTCAGTCAGCATATAATAGAAATTGGTTGCTGATACATAGTGTTGAGCTGCGCAAAAATCTATCCTCTGCAACATAAGCACGTTGGTGTGCTGGCTCTGAATTGAGGTTTGGCGATTCTCTAAATGGTAATTATTGCTGTGAAAGGTGTTTAAGTGCTAGACAGTGCAACTGTGAAAAACAGTAGCTGAGGTTCTTTGTTTTTTCAAAGGATTTTAGTTCATTCTTTAAGTGTGTGCCTTAGTCTGGCACACTGACGATAGGAGCATTGCTATGCTGTAGGCGGCTGAAACGGAAAATATATCCCCTGTTAGTGTATCTCAGGGACAGAAGTTCATCTAGAAGTGTGAAACGTTGTGTCCCTTATAGACGGGCTCTTGCTAGTTCATAATGTGTGGAGGTCACAATGCTCTGACAGGCTCTTCAGATCTCCATTGCTTCCTTTTGTTGTCTTAATGAAAACAAAGCAAATCCAGTAGTGTTGCCAATTTTTATATTATTTGGTGACTTCTATAAAAGTTTCCCATGATATCATGATTCCTGGCATCGAGTGTTCAGTTTTTCCCTTATGCAGAATGATTGCCTCCTCATCCCAGGGGATGAAAGAGGATAAGGGAAGTCTCCCTTATAGCAGTCAGCAGGGAGGACTGTGGGTTTTGCCATTTGGGTTTTTTGTGGCATCTGTTTACAATTGAATTTTGAACTTAAAGCAATCTCACATGTGTACTGGAGCAAGTAGCAGCTACCTATAAACTTAACGTCCAAAAGGCAAGAAGAGAAGAAGATAGATGGTTACTTGGTCATGCTGGCTTTTGTTTTTTCCATTTGTCAGATGCTGTACAGAGCTGAATCTGTGGAAGCTTGAAAGCTTTGGGATTTTGTTTTGCTTCCCCCTCCTTTTTCTGCCTTTTAAGTTGGAAATCGTTAGCACTTTTGACAGGTTTCTAATGTTGCTTGATGTTTAGATCACATTTCTTTATTTTCTGCATTATTGCTTTTGCATGGCCCTAGACAGTGTATGTTTTCAGTTTGCTTCCTTTAAGCCTGATTAAAACATCATGTTAATTTAAATGACTCATTTCAAAACATTAAATAAAAACTGTGGATCATTAACTTATATTAAATGCTAGGAGGTCTGAAGACTGAGATTTGTCACTTGCTAGTGCTGTCACTGACAATTTCGTTAGAATCATACCAAAATTAACAAAATCTTTAAAAAACTCTTGTACCCGCAGCTTCCTAATCATTCCAGCCTTTGTATTAAATGTGATCCTGCAAGTTTTAACGGAATCAGAAATTGAAATATTGAAGTGGGCATGTATTTGTAGTCATCTGCTTTGCAGACTTTACATCAGTAAATCATTACAAAAAATGTCCATCCAGTGTTTCTTACGGTTGAACTAGGAAGACCTCTATCTTTCTGACCTAGTCCTTTGTAGACTTTTCCGTGATCAACTTTGATTTTTATGTGTGTTTTTTGGCTTGTTAGGTTTTGTAGTACATTTTTTTATCTGCTTAACATTTTTAGTGATGTCCTAACTCAACCACATCTGTCAGATCTTGGGCTTGTGTTCTCTTTTATTTCTGCAACTTTTTGGCTTGTGGTTGGGATTTCGTAGTTGTACCGTGTTTCTATAGCTGTATATTTTTGTTAATAATGTTTAATTTCTTCCTTAGCTTAAGCTATGGAGGAGGACATTCATCACATTCAGAAACAGATCTTCTTCACAGACAGACATACACAGCTTCTCATCCGCTTCCTGGATATTCTGCTACACACCATCCTACTGGTAACTGTCCACATTGTGAGATTACAGCTTAAATAGCTAAAGAAAAAAAAAGTTGATGAATTTTATAATCAGAGGGAGTTTGTCATGCAAGTAGTGGCAAGTGGTATTAGAAAAGCTGAGTTTGTAGTAGAAAGCTAACAATCAGTTGTTAGCTTTTATCAAAATGTCCTAAGTAGAAAGGAAAATAAAAGAGGGGGTTTATACTCAGTAACTTATTGTTGGTTCTTAAAGAAACTGCATTTATTCTTTAAAATACAGCTTTTCAGGATTTGGCCTATGCATAAGGGCCAAACATTAAGTATGCCTCAAAGCCAGCTGCAGAAATCATGCTAATTCTTTTAGATTAAAGCAAATAGCAAAACTAATGCAAGTTGGAACACTCTATTGCGAGTACTTACATGTGGAAACTAAGACATAGTGCTGGGGGAAAGTTAAAATTTACTTTTAATGTAGTAGCAGATTAGGCTGTGTTACATCTGCATCAGGATCTGTCTGTGATCCTAGTGATATCCTGTCGGAGAAGACCGGGCATGACCTCTGCATGCTCCCTTTGCAACTCGTGCTGGCTGGAATCTGCAGTCTCTTGGCCAGGTCTTCGATTAGGACCATGGACGGTCAGAACTGCAGGGAATGTTTCAGGGTGCAGACCCTGCAGTCTTGAGGTGATCTCAGTTACTCAAAACTCTTGATCTCTCCAGTGCTTCCCATTGAGCCCCCTGCCATTGAAAGGTGTGAGCAACAGGGAACAAAGGTGTTCGTTGAAACAGAGAATGCAACCAAAACCCCTTTTCTTGTGCTAGTCCCACAGAGAACTCCAAACTGCTACAAGCTGCCCAAAGGGGGAAAAGATTGATACAGGGAAGTTGAACCCATTTCAGAAGGAATTCTGAATGTTTAAACAGTTCATATGAAAAAGTGGAACAGTGAATCTTCAGATGAAGGGAAAAGTTTACTGGTATACCTAAATATTACTTTTAAGCATCATATGTGACATACATTTAATAATAGATTTTAAAATGTATACTGAAGCTCCAGTTTACAGTTGCAACACTGTAAACCAGTGAAATGCTGTCAATGTACTTTAATAATATTGCTAATGTTTCATAGGTTGTTTTTAGTGAATTATGAATGTATATCCTTGTTATTTGATTGAGCTTCTTCTAAGTTCATCTGAATTGTCTGTTTTGTTTCATTTCCTTCCAACCTCATCTAGGTCTTTCAGGAATATTTGATACCAGTATGCACAGTGCTGGAAGTAACACTAAGGAAACTTCTTCAGTTATGAATTTTCTCTCTGCTATTGAGTCTCGTACCGCTCAGGCAGTCTCTTCAGGATCTACCCTTTTACCACAATTCAGGGCTCCTTCCTGGCAGACAGGTGAAAAATTTCTCTTGAAATAAAATTGTCATGATTATATCGAATGTTTGGGAGAATTTGAAACAAAAATATTCTAACTAACTGGAAAGGCTACATGTCTTCCACCTCTTCCATCTTGGTGTTTAAAAATCTCAAAATTCATGAAATTATATTAGCAGAAGAATTACATTAGAAGAAATCTATGAGCAGTTACTCTAATTGTTTAGAAGGAATTTAGTATATAGGATATTATTTTGTCTAACAAGTCAAATTTATTCTCCAACTTCGTTTGCAATTAGTCTCACTAGCACCATAATCATATTCAGGTAGACTACCTGTACACCCTAGCAGACCTTTCATTTTCCAGCTCTGTTCCCTGTCATAGTTGTTCTGTGATATTACTACTAAAACTGTATGGATACCTTTAGCCCCTTTGTACACAGAAGTAATGTGCAAGGTGTTCTCAGAAAGAAGGTCTGAGGTGCATGTTGCATAGAAATAAGTGATCTAATTTACAAATAAACCAACATGCTGTCTTTTTTGGCAGACTGGCTGACTTCTATAAACCTCCCCCGTCTGTCAAGCCTTCTGTGCAGAGCAGGAAACCTTGCATATTTTCAGCTTGCTATAGACAGACACCAAGATAAGTGTTGCTACTACATCTGTGGGCAGCTTCAAGTTATGGTTGATCTTATGTAGTGTTTATGCAGCTGTACAGTTAATCGGATCTATTCACTGATCGGACTGAAAACGTTTGGGTGTTGTTTTTTTTTCTTTTCCTTTAGTGGGATGGTTTTCCACTGTGTCAGCAAGCTGATCTGTGCCTCGGTGCAACTGTATGGTTGCTGCTTCTCATTTAGGGAAGAGGCATTAGATGGGAAGAAGCATTAGGTAGAAGGAAGGAAGAGTTGAACAATCCTTTTGTTGACAGTTTGTACTTGGTCTGTTAAGTGTAATGTGCGACAGCATTCTGTGAAGAGCTACTCCAAAAGGTTGAGAAGAGAGAATGTGGCTTTTTATTCACCATGGACAAAAGCAGTTATGTGGGAGCACAGATAAAGGTGCGCACTGTTAGCCTGTCAGAAAATCTTTATATAAATCTGTAGTGTTTAATGTTGCGATGACCCATCCTCACATCGGATTGTCAGCCAGGAAGAAATCTTTTTTTCCTCTTTGTCCTAGCATTTTCTCCATTGCAACCTACCTAACAGTGAATGTTGAAGAATGGGGAGACATGCTGTGGGTCAGGTTTGATGTTGATACCAGTGATTGAGAGAATTCTCAGTACTTATTACTAAGAACTCATCAATAAGCCCATTCTCAGTGTTACCAGTTCTCTGAGCATTCTGTTGTCCTTTAATATTTTGCTGCTTTTCTGTATCCCTCAGTCCTCCCAAGTGTCTTTTGAGAGCTTTGTCTTCTACAGACTTTTTTTGGTGAGGGAAAACAACTGCTCTTCACTCTTCAAGGTGACCTTTTTTTAGAAGGGTTTTTTTTACCTTTTTTTTTTTTCCTCCAAACCCTGCAGCTGCTGATTTTTGGGGGAAAAGAGGAACAGTGTGTTTGTTATATTGTCCTACCAAGTTTTCCTTTGATATGTGGGATGTGTTGTCCATGTTCTGATTTCTTAGGATGGGGGGGGTGTCTATGCACAACACTTACTACCTTTGCCATACCTTTTGTCTGCTCCTGTACAAAAGTAAAATACAAAACCCAGCAGTTCTGCCATAATAGTGCTTCTATGCCTGGCTCTTGGCTGGTTTAAGAAATTACCTGTGTAGTGGAAAGGGCTTTAATGTATGGAAGAGAAGGGAAAAATACAGGTTAGATGAGAAATGAACATCTGCAGTTAAAATAGGTATAAATTCTTCCCCTTCTTTGATGCTTCCAAATGCCCCACCTTTGTGTTAGTGGTAGGGATCAGTAAAAGAGAACCCAGTTGTACATGATGTTGCAGGGTTTTTTTTTTTGGGGGGGGACACACACCATTAAAACGCTGTTTATGCTTTCTTACTCAGAAAGACCTTACTGTTGACTAATGAAAAATACCTTGGCATTCATTCAGTATCACATCTCTTCATATCAGTTTGTCTTGAACTGAAAGGGGGAAACAAAGACTTTCTTTCGCAGCTTCAACTGAAACTTCCAAAGCAATTGTATGATTAAGTTGCAGTCAGTTTAAGAGGACTTAATATATTTTAAAATGAAAATTGATTTTTTTTTTCTGAATTATTTGTCTCAAAACAAGCTTTTACTGAGAGGTTTGGTTTTTTTTTTATTGTTCTTAAATGATCCAGAGCTAAAAGCTGTTTTAAGTATCCAAGAAGAACTGGAAAAGGTCAAATTATACCAGTGATTTTAATTTTTTCTGATTTGCGTACCCTTGTAAATTTTCCAGTGGAAATTGGTTGCTCTACAGATTCCTTTACAAGAAGTTTAAGCCTCTCTGAGAATAAACTCGCCTGCTTCACTTTTGTTCATAGACCTTGGAAATAGTACACAAGCTTTACCAGTACCTGCAAGTTAAAGGGTGAAAAGTGCTGAATGATACAGATCACTGCTGTAACCCCCAGAGCTTACAAGGAAATTTCACACTCCTATTTCAGTTGGAGTAGGATATTCTGTTGAGAAATCTTGTTTAAGGCAGGATGTCATACCAATGTCCGGATGCAAATAAGTAACATTATACCTTTCAGTTGGATAGTTGCTGTTGCACTATGCAGATAGTTGCTGTCTGTGGACATTTTGGACTCTCACTTTAGAAAGCATACAAATCGTATTTATTCTTTGTATTGAAAGTCAAAGCCCTCCTTTAAGAAACATATATTGCAAAGTGTATAGGCCATTAGCCATTTCACTCTAACCTCTGAAATGTTTCACGTAAAGTGAGTTATAAAAGTATTGGTGAGGGTAAATACAGGAGATGGAATTGCTCCTTTAACTGTGTGTATGACAATTTATAAGGTGTAATTTTGCCTTTTTACTGTATATTAAAGGTGTCCAGGGCTTTTGATCAGTTGTCCTCTGCTATGAAGTTCTTTTTAAACTGAAATAAAAACTAATAAAGAGCCTTCAGTTTCAAGGCAGAATTAATCCTGTACAACTTTTTTTTATCCACAATTTGCATCTTAAGGATATGAGTTTTTTTCCCTTGGCAATTCACTGTAAGTATAGAATTTGGAATTCTTAAAAAACCCTGCTCTTCCAGTTTGAAAATTAAACATGTTTTTGTTGAAAAGGCTGGCGATTCTGAAGAAGGTTGTATTTACAAATGGTGTAAGATCTTACAATTAAATTAGTTATGGAAATGCAGAGTGTTGTAACTTGTAAAGCTCCCTTATGCTCTTTTTCCCTTCTTGTTTTGTTTTTGTTTTTTCCAGGTATGCATTCCTCAACAGCCACAGAACTATTTGTTACTGGAGCTTTGCCGACCTCTGGAACATTTCCACCAACATCTGCTTTATCAGCATATCAGCATCCCAACACTTTCAGCAGTAGAAACTTTGCTACTACCCCTTCTCTTACCCTTCAAGATACTACTTTCAGTGCTACATCAAATGGTCTCTTAACTCCCCATGATCCTTTATTACAGATTAAAACATCACAAGGCACTGTTCCAACTGCTTTGACATTTGAGCGCCTAGGCAGTTCTGTTTTAAGTACCAGTATACCACCTCAGTCATCAACATACCGTTCTGCTCAAGAATCTGCACCCCATCTTTTGCAACCTCAGTTTAGTTTGTTGCCTTCAACCCTTGGAGGAGCTCAGCAGGTTTCTCAGACATACAGCACATCAGTCTTTACTGGTTCCACTGCTTCTATCGACAGAGCACTTCAGCGAGAATGTAGTGTTATTAAACACCATCAGCGGCCTTCAAGTACTCAGTCTGTTCAGGCTCAACTGACTGTTTCGCAGCATTCCTTACACACCTATTTAACAAGTACAAGTGGAGTTAATTTTCAGGATACATCTAGGCACTCAGCATTATCCTGCAGTCCAGTTGGAGACGTCACTCAGGTGAGCAATGGAGGACCACAGCAGAAGACTTCTCAAGTCACAGTGGAACTTGCTCAGTCGTACACGTCTGCAATTCCATCACCTGGTTTTCCATCTGCCTCCACAGCAAAAGTGAAAAACTGTTGCACAAAGCAGCCTCCAAGGTCAACGAAGACCCCCAAACCTCAAAGTGTAGCTCCCACTGTGCAGACACAAAGCTATGCCAAAACTGCACAAAACCAGAGTTCTGTCATTACAGGCCAAGCACAGATCTATTCTACAGCACAGCTCCCAAGCCTCTTGTCAGTCAGCCAGTCCCAAAACTATGTTTCATCACAGGCTCAGAATGTGCCACCTGTCAGTCATTCACAGGATTTCTCATCCAGCAAGGTTGAGAAGCTGCCCTCACTGTATAAAACATTGACTTTTTCTGGGCAATCACAAACTATTACTTCTGATAGTCAAACTCTAAGTTACTCCTCAGAGGAACAGGTATTGACTTCAGTTCCAAGTGAGAACTACTCTGGGCAAACGAGGGAACTTTCTTCAGTCAGCCAATCTCAGAGCTACTCTTCTAGTCACTCTCAGGGTTTATCTCCAGTTAGCCAGTCCCAAGTTAGTTTTTCATCTCAATCACAAGTTTTATCAGCTGTTAGTCCTTCAGAAAGCTATTCTTCAGGGCAGTCTTTAACGTTAACATCGCCTTCTCTTTCCTTTAATGCCTCTCCTCGGATACAAACTCTTCCAGCCTCGAGTCCTAATCAGAGCTATATTTCTTTACATTCTTCTCAGAACTCTCAGTCACAAGAATCCTCCTCTCCACAGTCTCAAAAATTTTTGCCATCTGTCCAGTCTCCTGCTTTTGCATCCTCAGCTCATTCACAGACGCTGCAGAACAACAGGCCTTCCTCGGAAACAAAGTCGTATGTTAAAAGGAAGTCTGACTCTAATTTGTATGCCTCATCAAAACAAGAGGAGGAATTATCAATGCAGGACATGCAGGCATTGCAACAGCAAGCTGCTCTTGAATCTTCTGCTCAAAGGCTAACTGATGAGGAAATCAGTGCTCAGGATGCATCCTATAGGGTCTCGAAAGCAGATGACAGATACTCTCAAAGTGTAATCAGAAGTAACTCTCGTCTTGAAGATCAAGTTGTTGGACTTACTCTTCAAGGAACAAAAAAAGATGAAAGAATGGTCAATTCTGTGGAACAGCTTTCCCAACATATTGGTCATATCACTAGTCTCAGCCATGATATAAAAAAGACAGCTAATTTAATGCAAACAACACAAGTAACTGTGAGTGCTAAAGAACTAAACCAGCAACATTCTCTTATGCATAAGGTACATGAAAGTAAAGCTCAAGAACAGCAAGGCCAAGTTATTAATTCGCCATCACAGGTTCAACCTCATGCTTTAAGACATGGTCATCAGCTGTGTTTGCCCAGTGCACAGGTACTTCTGGAGTCAGCCTGTGACTTGCAGATTCTTCATCAGTCAATACTGCACTCAGGTTTAGGACAAGCAAAGACATCGCCACAAGTGCAAAGAATACAGAGTCCGCAACAGGTAACGCATCCATTCCTTCAGATGGATGGTCATATTATTCAAAGTAATGGGGGTCATTCTCAGCAACAGCTTCATACTCAGAATTCAGAAGTAATGAAAATGGACATTTCTGAGCCCTCAAAACCACTACAGCAACATTTGACAACAAAAGATCATTTCACTCAGACAAATCAACATGATTCAAAAAATCAGTTTGTTTCTCTTAGTTCAATATGTTTCCCAGAATCTATACTGCTCAGTGATGAGAGGAATATATTATCCAATGTAGATGACATCTTAGCAGCAACAGCAGCAGCCTGTGGAGTAACGCCATCTGACTTTGCCAAATCGGCCTCTAATGAAGAGGAAATGCAGTCTGTTGAAAATAGCGAGGAGTCTAAAACACACTTCCGATCAATGGATGTGAGACATGTGTCTTCTGGTTTCAGTGCTTCACCTGCTGTAGTTGGAAAGCCAGCAAGCATAAGTAATATTGCTCTGAATGGAGGCCAGATTACTATAAATCTTGCACCAGTGTCAACAATACAGACAAAAACTGTGAACCTTGATCAACAACACGTTGAAACTTCTGATCAAAATGTACCAACAAGAATGACCTCTCCCACCCTTGGCCCTGGTCAGGAAGAGCAAGAACAAGGGGCTGTTCCAGTTAAGAAACAATCTAGCATCAGTCATGAATCTGAAGAAGATAATGATGCTTCTGCTGATGGCACACTAAATGCAAGAGACACAGAATTTGTTTCAAGTGGTAAGAGCTTAAGTGAAGAAAGTGCTACTTCGGAGAATGATTTTAATATGGGTGGTGATGATGGTACGGTAGCAGGTAACCAGTCAAAGGGTCCATTGCAGCCACTATCTGTGCCCCAAAGTGGAGATGGAACCATTAGTAGAACTGAGGAAGAATGCCAAGATTTAACTCAAGGGAATCTTCAGAAGAAAAAAAGCAAAGGCAAAAGCCAAAACAAAAATGGTGCAGAAGATGACAGTGCAATTCAGAAACAGGTAAAAAGAAGTGGACAGTGTAAACGTCAAAATTCAAGAGGAAATGACTCATGTTTGACATATTCCTCTCCTGTTTCTGAAAGTTGTTATGATACTTACCAGCATCAGGAAAGAATGAGGCAAAAAATTAAAGAAGTTGAAGAAAAACAGCCTGAAGTCAAAACAGGATTTATCGCATCCTTTTTAGACTTTCTAAAGTCTGGGCCTAGGCAACAGTTTTCAGCTCCAGCTGTACGAATGCCGAACAGGACTCGGCGACCGGTTACCCAAATAGTTCGTGCTCCTTGCCTACAGTCCACTGCAAAGCCTCAGCCAGCAGCAGCAGCACCTGTAGCTGCTGAGGTTAGTGGAGAAAGTCCAACCAAAAAAGTTGATGAGGAACTTAAAAAAAATTTAGAAACGTTGCCTTCATTTTCTTCTGATGAAGATGATTCTGTGGGGGGTAACCACGATCTTCAGAAGAGCATCTCTACTGCGTTGTCAGCTCTGGATGATACATCTGATAGAAGGAACAAATCAGGTAAAACAATTACTACAAGTGCATGTGTTGAAGGAGATTTCTGTAGCTGATAGGAAAAAATAAAGTAATTATAAATAATATCATTTTATCTATCTTCAGGTAAAGGTTTTGATTGGTTTTGGTTTTAATCACAGCCATAATTAAGAGTTTTGTTCAAAAGGTGTGCTGACTATGAACTAAACTAGTTTTTTCCATGATTAGAAAATATGTAGATAAACTTTTTTATGCTACTTAAGTACGATTCTTCTGATGCCAAAAAGTTATTTTAGCCCACAATTGGAATAATGTGTCTGCTCTCTTCTCTGGCTGAGAAGGCTAAATATGATTTTCATCTGGAAACCTCAACAAACCATCATGTCAGACGTTTTTAATCTATTTTTAAAAAATTCTAACAAGAGAATATATTAATAATTGTGATCAGTAGAGGTTAAACATGCACTTTCTATGATGATAGAGTTGCACAGAATATGTATGAAAACAATTTTTGCACTTGTAAACTGAGCACAAGTTTGGCTAATCTTGTCCAAGTTGGGAGTCATTCGGCTTTGTTTTCAGCCATATTAATCAGGAGTTTTGTAGCACCGTGTTGATACATTGCTAGCAACAGAACAAAGTCTGGGGAGGGCTGTTTTGGCCAGGGAGGGGCAAGCAGCAACCACTGATCACAGCAGTAGTTAGTTTTCCACACTTTGGTTCCATTTGTATTGCATCTATGCTGTACGTTGGTGTTCATAGCTTTTTAACTGATGCTGCTTTGTTTTGGAGTATTTGCAACATACAGCATATTTTTGCCTAGATAGAACTTCTCAATTAGGTTTGTTTTCTCTTTTAAGCAATTAAAAACTATCCAGCCAATCACATAACTGTACTAATTCAAGAGAAATACCATTATCTTCCAAAATAATCACAGGGAGAAAATGAAACATTTCTTAAACTCTTCTCAGGACCCATGACCCATGGGCTGATTCTTAACAAAATAGAATGCGGTAATTTTGTTCTCTTTTTGGATTAAAGTAGAGAGGGAGAATTTTTTTTCTCTGGGAGTGACATGATTTACTGAAAACTACATAGCACAACTGAACTTAACTTGTAATAATCACACCTAAAATACCAGAAAAAGATCGCAGAATACATGATATACTAAAGAATACTTCATCTTATTTACTGTTCTGTTTTCTTCTGTGGATATTTCTATTAAATTATGTTAAGTTCATGCATTTTGGAAAGGTGGTTACAGAAGGTGAAGTTCCTCATGTGTCTTTCAGTTGAATGTGTGTTTTAAACAAAAAAGCAGTGACCTTTTTTTCCCAGAAAACCAAAATGTGGACAGCGCTATGGTGTGAGCCTCTTGCTGAAGCTTGTTAATTTTAATAAGCCATGTTCTGTGTACATCTTCCTAAGGAAATATTTCAAAGGTTTTTTGTTGGGTGGGCATTTCCATTAGTGTTTTATTTGCAGTGATTTCTTTTACAATGTTATTGTATCTTATTAATTATTCATAAGGATGTAATATTTGTACCACCAATTTCTTGAATTCACCTTCCTGTTTTGTTACATACAAGACTATTTGTACATTATACAAGATGCTTAGTAATGACGTCTTTCTTACTGGTGTTTTGCAGATTTTCTAGTAATTCCCTCTTCTGTCTGTTTTTGCACATAAGTATGGAAGGACAAATATTAAAACATAATCTTTTGTTGGTAGTATTAATAAGCATATGTATGTTTATCTGCTGTTCTGAAGAATGTGTAAATATGCTTGGGGAGCTACTAATACTGTGCCTAATTAAAGCTGTCATAGCTTTCACTGAACAAAGAAATACAGCATATTTATATTTACAATAATGTCCCATGATACATCCAGAAGAGTGTATTTCATGGCTTACCAATTTTACTGAATTGATTTAATGAATCTTCACATATCTGATATATAGCTTTTGTATTGACACATTAATTTGATATTTAAATTGTTTGTTTTGAATCACTCATTAAAATATGTCACTATTTTCTATTTTTCAAGTGAAAAAGTCAACCATTAGTAGTGATTGTAACAAAACTGTAGAACAGTTATCTTAAATTTGAATCCAGTTTCCTACATGATATTAGTAATTACGCTATAGCTAGTATAACTTGATTTCTTTTAGATAAGCAAGTCAGTGTTAAAACTACTATGTATAAAAGAGTATAAAGTAATATCTAAAAAGGATTCTAATTTTTTTCCGGTGGGAAAGAATAATTTTGAAATGTGGGGGTTTCTTTTGGCTCTTTGGCATAGAGGAGGAGAAGAATGTTCTTTCCCTTCTTTGTTTTATATCATTAGTTCTCATTGCTCACTTCTGTTACTACAAAAAAATACTAGAATATTGCCAAAGTTTTGATCTGGAACTTCTGTTTACATTATCACAAGTTATAAATTGTAAATGTCCAAAAGTCATACAGCAAATGTTTTCATATTTCATGTGTATTTCTCTTTCCTTAATCCAATTAAAAAAGGCTTTACTTAGCAGATTATAAACAAGATTCAGTGTTGTAACTGTTACTGTTGTATTTGCTTATTCACACAAAGTACAACAGTGTTTCCTGTTGATCATGTCTGTAACTATCAAATTGTTTTCTAAAGCATTCATCTTTGTTATTTCTAGATGCTAACAGATGCAGCAGTTGAATACAAACAGAGGTATACTAGCTACAATATGTTGGTTTTGTTTAAGGTTTAATTGTGGCCAAGATAATGCTTCTATTTTAACTCTTAGAACAGATGGATTTTTTTTCTAGAATAGTTGTTTTTAATATATATTGTAATGGAAAAGGAGAAAAATAAATCTAGTTCCCATTTTATGTTGCTAATCCTTGATAATTTGTTTAACTAAAATTTGGATTTTTTTTTTCTTCAGAAGCTGAAAAACTGGCAGTTATTACTGCTGCTGCCACCTCCACTACTGCTGTAATAAAGCAGGAATCTTCACAGACAACTGCTCCAGTAGTCAATGTGCAGGAGAAAATGAATCCAACTGCCCCCTTAAAAGTAGCTCAACAGGATGCTGTGACTTCAGACCAATTGGCAAAAATACAGGCAACTGTTGCGATAGAAGGATGTACTGATGAGGAGAATACGGACAGTGGAGGAGAGGGCATGTACAGAGAACGTGATGAATTTGTAGTGAAGATTGAAGACATAGAGACACTAAAGGTAATGAGGATACTTGCTGTGACAAAAAAAAAAATTTAAAAAAAACCCAAACAAAACGAAAAGTTCTGCGTAAGAATTCAGCTTTAACAAAGCACCGAAAGGGGGAAGGCTGCAGATTATTTTTCTGTTTCTATTTTAATATTCCTTGGCTGCTACCAAGATGCCTTAAAGGTGTCTTTCTAGTGCAGATTATGAGTCAGTTTTGTATGTACAGGACCCATCTTATGCTACATACAAAATAGAGTAAATCTGCATGCTGGTAACCTCTGTTAGAACTTGGAATTATGTTCGGGTTTTTTAATGATAAAAACCTTAAATTTTTCACAAGTTGTTTACTACTTTTTTTTTTAAAATAGTAGTAGGCTTTCAAGTGTAAGGTGTTGAGGAAATTACTTTTGGACTTTTGCAAAAGATCTTGGAATTGTAGTCTTTTTTTTGGAAGAGATTCTGCTTGCTATTCCAACAAGAAATGGCTTCCATAAGCAACCAATACAGATTTTCACATGAGATATTGGGAATGTTCCTTGTTGTCTTTGATTTCTTGTTTTATTGTGCTTTGTTTCTTCTCCATTTTAAATTCTCCTGCTTGTTTACCTTTCGTTTTGTTGCTGTCATAGACAGCAACATTCTCGCCATCAATTTCTAATACTTTTGATAACTTGTCTATGTATTCATCCTCTTGAGCTTAAGTTTTAAATAAATTCATGTAGCTTTGTCACAAAACAAGTGTTATCAGTTTTAAAATATTCCCTTCCCACTTATAAAGCTGATTAAGGTATGAATTTTAAGATTGATTGATTTAGAGTCATGAAAAAGGAACCAATACTTAATTATATGTTTTCTAAAAAGAGAGTTTTTTGAGTTGGTAGTTTGCGTGTAGGATTTGTAGGGAATTCTCATTAGAGCTAGTAATTACAAATTTGTTTTTAACCTAGTTTATTTCTCAAACTATGTGAAGAAGAAAATAAACTAATTTCTTTCTTTACGGTGAAGTTGAACTGAAAGTGTAAAATCTGGTTCACTAATTCGTACTGAGTTGTCTCATTTCACATTAGTACAAACATTGTGCTGTAACGTACCTGAGCTTCTGCTACAAAATCTCTAGAGACCTGCAAGCTTTTTGCTACCTGTTGCGATTCTTGCATTTGTGTTTTAAAAAAGATTTCATAGAACAAAAGAATAAAAAAGTTGGAAAAATGTTGTTTTAAAAAATAAAGTTCTATGGCTTAGTTACATGGTACACAGGTTAAGGCATCACACCATAGGCAAAGCTAGTTGGCACAATTTCATCACTGTGAAAGTAAAATTTGTAGATTGCGTTATACTTACTGTAGTTCATGTTATATTGTCTTGATGCGAACGCCACGTAATGACTAAGGGTTTGGAACTTTGAATTACTTATTTCAATTTTATCCCTGGGTAACTTACTCAAAAAATATAATGCATAAACACACTTCTGGGAAAAATATGAACACTGTTTTTAGCAAATAATTTTATGTTCTTACAGGTTGCTTTGCAAACAGGAAAAGAGCCTCCAGCTATTTGGAAAGTACAGAAGGCTTTATTGCAAAAATTTGTTCCTGAAGTGCGAGATGGACAGAGAGAGTTTGCTGCTACTAACAGTGTGAGTCTTAAAAATTCTTTATGAAATCTCATGGGAACTAATTTCCCTAATGGAGGTCTAGGAAACAAAATAAAATGTGATTCTGACATACATTCTTGGGGGGCAGGGGAAGGTTTCTTGGTTTCCTCCTACTCCAAAATGCTCTCTAAATATATTCATGGGGAGATTCTTTGCTTTCCAGCATGGGTTCTTTGGTATCATTCAGGCTGCATAAAGGAACAAGTTTTTACAACCAGAATAAAGTCAGCGGAAGCAGGCTTGTGAACCAACCACTTTCCACAATGGGAAGGATACAGATGGGATACAATTTCAACAGCCAGCCCTTTGCCAGGCATATAGTCCTTTTGGGATAACACATGGGGAGGGTTAACTAAAGGGAGAAAATGAAGCCCAAAGTACCTCTTGCCTTATTTTCTTACTTTAAATATTGTGTGGAAATCAATTGGAGAATTTCTCTTAAATTAGTAGGATGGTGCATCTTTGTATGTAAACAAGTTGGTTTTAAACTGATAGTTTTTCTTTAGTATTTAAATTTTTAATTGTTAAACTGAATAATTTTACTTAACAGAAACACTTGTGTATTAATTTTATTTATTTCGTTGTTTAGTATCTTGGGTATTTTGGAGATGCGAAAACAAAATACAAACGAGTGTATGTGAAGTTCATTGAAAATGCAAACAAAAAGGAATATGTCAGAGTATGTTCAAAGAAACCACGAAGCAAGCCTGTACAGTCAGCAAGGTATTTTATTTCAATTTGTTTTTCATTTTGCCATATTGTTTTCATATTAAGAACACGTCTATTTTAATAAAGAAGACTTACAACTCAGGATTATATTAGTTCAGCTTGAAGTTGGAAACTAAGAACTGTATGTTTTGCTTTAAGAAATGAAATGTAAGTTACCACCATAGGAAGACTTCCCTACCTTGAATCTGTGGATTGCAATAATCATTCATTTTAGAGGTGCTAGGGCTCTACGTGCTATTTATTTCTGTCGTCTTTTGCCCTGTTACTCAACATAAGGATAGAAGCCTACAGGTCTAATGATTTTATTTTTTGGTGTGGTGTTTTCTCCTATCCTGTGGACTTTGCAAGTAGGTTATGTTTTTCTGGATTGCTTTGATGACTGTCCTGTCCCAGTATACTAGAAGTACCATACTTTCTTCTCAATCCTGGAAAGTTAATTTAAAAACAGAAGGTCATTGTTGAAGTTGATTGTCACAAGGATGTTTTTCCTTCTTCTGTATGTCCTTGCACCCTGAGGGTATTTTACTTTTCTCATTGCACCTGCCCTACCTCCCTCACCCTGCCCTAAAACACCTTATTACTTTGAGTCATCCCATGTAACTTCTATCCATGCCTTAAAATCAGTAATTCCAGTAGTATTGCTTTTAGACCACTACCAAGGATAAATAAAACCCAAACAAATCTGTCACTCTGGAGAGCCATGTAAAGAATGCAGGGAAAACATAGTATGGTTTTGATTATTCTACTAAATATACTACTGGTCCTGCAAAATGTTATGACCGTAAGTGTGTCTCACACAGGTACTTTGGCTATCTCTGAGATTTCCTCTGTCACCTTCCTTTTGATAAGGTTTTCACTGTCATTCACTTCCTAAGGGTTTTGCTGTTGCGTTTGGTGTTGATCTTTGCTTGTGCTTTTGGAAAAGATTGCAGATTCTACATTGTACAAACTCTGTAACGCTTTAATGCTTAGCTTATTTTATCTTCTCACAACTTTAGATGATATCTGGAGGTTTTCTCTTTCTAAGGATTTTTAATATTTATAATTTAGTATGAATGTGTTTTTATTAGACCTTAGTAAACAGAAATGAAAGAAATTACAGTGCTGTTCATTCAAGAAATGACTGGGTTCTTAAGTCTAGTTTGCTCTCAAAGCAATGCCATCAGATAATCAGTTTTGTAAACTAATCATGGTCTACTTAAAACTAGCTAGGATTTTGATGCTTTTTTTTTTTCTTGGGCTACAGAAGACTGTTCCAGAACTTGTTCCTCCAGTGCTCCAAAACAATCCTGTCTTTTAACAAAACATGATCATGATTAGCTTGCATCCATATGTTCTTCTCTCAGTACTGTTTTTGGCTTTTAATTCCGTCTTCCCCTTGTGTTTTTACTGCATGATGTACTTCTGGAGAGTGGTCAGATTCCACCTCTGTCTTAGTTTCACTAAAGCTGGATTAATCAAGGTCTTTCAACTTCCTCTTCTAGGGCAGGCTTTCCATTCCTCTAATCATTCTAGTATCTATTGTCTCCATCCATTTTGGTTTGAAATCTCAGTGTTCCAGTAGATACTAACAATGTTTGTACTGTACATTTCACTGCTTTCCCATTTGGACAAAAAAAATCTTGCCTGGCACTTCCCAGAATTGTATTCCCGGCCATGCTCTCAAAACTGTAGTGCTTTATTTGTCCTAAAGTACATAACTTTGTATTTATGATATTAAGTTTCCTGTTTAGAGTGGTGGGAAAAGAAAAGGAGTTGTCTAGTTTCTCATTCCAGTCCTCAAGATCCTGCATTTTTACCTGGATGATATTCTCTCCCATCTTTGTCAGCGAATCTCATTGGTTACTAATATTTGTTCAAGTCTGTCAAGTCTGATTTTTTTTTTTCATTAAATAATCAATTTTAATATTAGCTCCAGTCTCCTATAGCTTATAAATTCTACTAACATTTAGCAATTTAAACTTTCTATGCCTGTTTATTTAGTTATAAAATCGGAATATTATTTAATCATAGGTAGTTGAGAATAATTGTTAAGTATTATATCAAAAATATAGTAGTATAGTGTGTATGACCTCAGTCTTAGTGACATGTGACAATGAAATAAGTATATATAATCCATAGGGAATATATTCTGGTTAAATAAGACTGTAGCTATTTTATTAATGCCAAAACTTGTGTGGTAATTACTTTCATAAAGATCGTCTTCATAATATTGCAGGACTATTCATTGCAAACCTAGTAGTAGCAACAACAAAGCCCCTGATCCACCAACACCAAAACCAACAGCAACAAAAGTCTCTTCTGTGAAACCCAAAGCTAAACAGCCAAAGGTAAAGGCTGAACCACCACCAAAGAAAAGGAAAAAGTGGAAAGAAGAATTTTCATCTTCCCAGTCTGATTCTTCACCTGAGGCCCAGAGTGATGAGGATGGTGAGCGAGATACTACTGTTAGCGTCTAGGCCCATTTGAACTTAACTGAAAAAAGCATTATAAAAATACTTTGCTTGATCTTGCAAATTTTTCTTTACTAGCCTCAGAAAAAAAAAAAATCTGATGGTGCCATGCAAAATTGATTGCTTAAAACTTTTTACTTCTTTGTGTATGAGCAAATGTGTGCAACTGAAGTTATCTCAAATTTAGTTTATCAGTTAGATAAATATATTTTTACTACTTGCATTCTAAGGTACGATTGTAGGAGGAGGAGATGATTTGATTTTCAAATACTTTTCAAGAATCAGATTCTTCATTAATTTTCCATTGCAACTCCATGTCGTGTCTAAAATAACATTCCTGCAATGGCTGTCTGCATGCACATGTAGGCAGAACTCAGATGTTACTCCTGTTTTTTCAAAGCCCGAGGAGAAAAAACAGTTGACCTTCTGGCTGCTTTGTTGCCTGTCTAAATGCCAGCTGTTCAAATGTAGCCTGCTGAGCAGATTTGTTGTTAAAGATGTTCATGGTGTCTTGGAACGCTGAGATACGTTTGCAATAATTCTGCAGAACAGGAAGGAATTTTTGAAGTGTTACAATGTTTGTAGAGATCACCTGTGGTAGCAGATATACAGTGCATTTTTCAGGGTTTTTTGTTTTTCCCATATGTTTGAAGTTAAGCTGTGTAGTACTCATGCTTTGTATTGCTGCATTTCCAAAGCATGTTGGCCTCAGTGACTTTAACTGCAGATAAGCTAGAGCTGGAGTACTGGAACAGTGCCTCTGCTGAGGGCAGCACCTTTGAAATACTATTTTTCAAGCAAACTTACCCAAATAACTATTAATATGTACAATTGTCCATATTGAAAATTTCAAGTAACCTGCTGATGATAGTCATCCATAGAAATGTGGATATCTGAGAAAGTTTAACAGTCTTGCCAGCTAAATTACTACAAAATATGGGTATCATACATGGAGCCTATAAAAAGCTCCAGAATGCTTACTAGTTTAAAATTGTTGTCTATGAAAAAAAATAATCTTCCTCAGAATAAGTACAAATATGTCTACATTGCTTCACTGGTAAAATGCGGTTTACGTGTTTTTTTGTGAATTGGGCAATTAGATGGGATTGACTTCGATGGTATGCAGGCTCCTCAGTGATGTAAGTGCTTTTGAATGTTTTCCTGCTGGGTGACTTCAAGTTTTGTGGTTTTAGGGAGGTACTTGCATTGACATGAAACCTGCATTTAGAGCACTTTGCTTGACTGAAGTTATTCATTATCCTTTTTCTCTAGACTTTCATCTTCAATAATAGAAAAATATTTAAATTCCCTAAAATATTATAGTCTAAATGCTGATAGTTACAAGTCATTGTACATGTTTCTACAAAAAATTGTACCATTTGTACCGGATTTGGTGTTTATACCTGTTTTTGGCATGTAAGTAGTTTATTATTTCTGATTGTACTGAGTTTTAATCTCTTGGGATACCAGTAGGGGTCACTTGTGTTTTGAGAGAGAAACCTTCGGTTTTTAAAAACACAAAGATTTGCAGGATACTGAAGGAAGAAAATTATTATATTCCGATTAATTTTCAGAGCTTGTAACTCCAGCTCCCCTTGTTACTCGCTTTTTGAACACAAGAGCTATGAAAGAGACTTTCAAGAGCTACATGGAGTTGCTTGTTAGCATTGCCTTGGATCCAGACACGATGCAGGCCTTGGAAAAGAGCAATGGTACTGTATGTTTAACATTTGTGTATTTTTATTAGATTTTAAGGTTATTAATCAGTAAAGCAAATATATTTTTTTGAAGAAAAGAAAAAAACCTGAACTTTTAGCTACATACCCACATCTGAAGAATACTTTACACAAATTACTTATGTATGTGCATGTGTATATATTTGCACTATCTCTTTGAATAATCTAAGTAATTAGAAATACTGTTTCATCTGCTTTGTTACATTAGGCTTGTGCTGTGAATTTTAGAACTGAGGTCTCTGTTCCTGGTGTTACTGTCTTTAAAATCTTAGCAAACATTTATTTCAAATTACAGTGTTTCAAGTGTGTGTTTACTTTCTTGTGAAGAAGTACCCTTACAACTATAAGTAGTTTTGATTATTACTACTATTAAAAATTCTACTTTTCAAACTCTGAAACCTTAAAATTCTGATGAAAGACAATTATATTCCAATTTTTATTTGAGGAGGAAATGTTTGGACTTAATAACCGTAGGGGACTCCAGGATACACGTAAAAACTGTTTTATTTCTCAAAATTTAGCAAAAAACTCATATATAAAGATAAAAATCCCCAAAGGGCAATCATTTTGCATATTATTTAGTTGTTTTGTACTATATTCTGTTTGTCTGCATGTAAAAAAACTATTTTCTCAACTCTGCTTTCCTAGTTTGCTCTGGTTGTGCATCAGTGCGTACTTACTGTGCATACTCACCTCAAGGTTTCATACCCATAGATTATGTCAGTAGTCCACTAAAAGCAAAGAAATTGACTTTATAAATAAAAGACTCCATACTGAGCTGTAAGTTTTCATTCATGGCCATGTGCCTATTCAAATGTATATTGTACAATTTACAGTGGGTTATCAGATAACTTTTATCAGTAAGAACTCTCCTCAGTTTCTTTTGTTATAAATGTGAGCAGGGTCATCTCTTGTAATATGGAATAGCAGATGTCAAAAACACATACTTGTCTTCACAAAACTGCCAGTTGTATTGCACAGAAGAGGATTATCTAGGAAATGATTTGAAATTGTCTCTAAGATTTATGCTGTATATTGCTCTATCTTAATTTTTTCCTTTCAACAAAGAAAAGTCAGAGAAGAAGCAGGATTGCAGTCAGCAATTAAACTGCATAATATCTACACCAATTTAGCAGGCTGATCCAAAAAATTCTTGTGTTTGAACTTAGTTTATGTGCAAATTGCATTATTTTTTACTTCCACATTTTATGTTTAGGGGGTAGATTGGATAGGAATCTTGTTACTCTGTGTCTCTTAATAATCAACTGCTACTTTTTTTTAATGTGTCTTTTAGATGAGCTACTTTTGCCTCACATGAGAAAAATTGATGGTATGCTGAATGACAATAGGAAAAGGCTGCTTTCCAAATTACGCTTGGATCACACTTTCAAGGTATTCTCTTTTAAATTCTAGGATTTTTAAACTAATGTTACAAGTAAGTCATTGAATAGGTACCATGCAGGCACAGCTTAAAGCCGTGAAGGCAAATTTGTAACAGAAGTGAATGTGGATTTGAAAGAGATGCTATAAATTCAGTGCTATTATGTGGCATTTGAAGAACATTTTGAGACGGAGGAGTTTATACTGCAAAGGTAAAGTTCTAGTTTTACTCCCCAAGCTTTATGGTTCATTCTCAAGCATTTTTTCTTTTAAGCTTCTCAAGTTTGCCAAAAGAATATCTGTTTCCTGTCCTTCTAGAGCTTTTGGTTAAGTGTTTATATTGCCTAAAAATGTTAATAAACTTTTACATTAAACAGCTATGCTGTGGAGCAGATGTCTGAACTTCTTGGAAGTAGAGAACATGATCAGAGTAGTTTAAAACCAGGACAGAGGGACTCGAGAACAACTCATTTGTGCGCTCTTTCATGTATCTTCAGCATGGAAGGCTGGGAAAAGTGTGGATAACAAGCCCATATTACAGCAACTTTGACGTGATATTGACAAACAGGTCTGGATGTGGACAGGGAAGAGAGCAGACACCTACCATCTCAGTAGAGAGAAGGTAAACAGGAAGATAATCACTGTGGTTCCTGCCATTCCTACCTACCCTCCAAGCAACAATGCAGATTTCAAAAGTGCAGTAAAGTGAATTAAGGTTTCTTTCACTCATGTCTGAGAACTAGTTGTCCATGTCTGTAATCAGACTGATTGTAATCAGAACTTGTAACAGTTTTGAGACCAACAACAGTAAAGCAGACCTGTCTATAAACACCACCAGACCAAACCTGCTCTTTCACGTGTTCCCTTATGTCTGCAGTACAGAGACACTTGGAGAATTAGTTGTCTGTCTGTACTGCTCTGGGCTTATTTTTGAGAGCTAGGTGAGGAGGGTGATAATAGCAGACTTGACAGTTCTGCTTTTTCATCATGAAACCTCTAAAAGATTTTTTTTTTTCCCACGACTTATTCCTGGTAAGTCTTGTGGGACACTAAGTGACCTTGTTTCAGGGATAAGAACATCATCAACCAGTGAAACAGGTTTAATTCACAGGATTCTTGAACTTTTTTTATTATTAGTTATGCTGTTTTCCCAACAGCTGTGCAGTTTGTACCTGCTTGAACGGCATTTCTTGTGGCTTTCTCCTTACAGTAGAAGGCATGGAAGGGGCTGTGTATTTTCAAACCATACACAGAGCCTCAGAGAGGTAGCATGTATTAACCCTCCATTTTTGTTGTTCTTTTGTGGAAATAGTTATTTCTACAGCTGCTTCTTTTAGACCTGTCTGTGCAGAGAAGATAGGCCACCTTAAGGTAGGGTACGAATTTGTAAGAATTCTTGTTACATTCGCAGTACACACAAAGTAAGAGGTAGCTTATTTTGGTTTTTTCCCAGTTTAAGGAAAAAAAGCTAATATCTTCTGTAATACTGACATGTAATTACAGCTGCTTATTCAGTTGGAGTTCATAATGTAATAGCTTTGCTGTGTGTTCACATAGAAGCATATTATGTATCATATCTCTAAATTTAGCTTAAGCCTGTATTTCATCGTATGATCTGCAATAAGTTAATGGAGTTACCGATGTAAGGAAGGGATCTGTTTGTGATGGAAATTGCAAGATAAAAAGCCTTTGATGTTTGCCTTCTGGTATGATGGTACCAACTTGTGCCATCCTTGGGTCATTATTTTGGATAAAAATGAAAGGCTTATTTGTCATCATAGGTGTTTGTGTTGGTTAGGAAAATTTGTTTGATACTCTTTAAGATTCAGATTAATCTGATGATTAATACAAGAAAGTCTGCTTCTGTTCTGGCTTTGATCAAATGACTAGTTGCAGATATTAGAGCCGAGTGATGCACTGAAGAGCGTAGTAAGTGAAAAATACCGTTATCGTTCATGAGTATCATTCAGTTTGAATGTTTTTACTATTCTGCATTGATAAGCATGGATGAATTTAACTTTTTTTTTTCCACTGGATACAGTTAATATGGGATATTTTAGCACTGTATTATGAACCAAATCAGACACTGAAGTTAGCAGTCAGTGTTTGGTAGTTTTGCCTGTAACATTCTTTATAGTTCTAACAGTTTATCGTGTCCTTTGGGTTATAGTTTTTTTTATAAACAAAATTAGAAAATCTTACTGTTGCTTTAGTTGAAGCTTTGTAAATGAAACTTCTTAGCTGAACTGTATAAATTTAATTTGGAAATAATTATAAGCGTTCTATGTCTTCTGCTCTCAAAGATGTGGGAATTGCTAGTATTTTCTTCTTCATTCCATTTCAGATTTGTCTCTTTTAGGTCAGTGGTCCAGCCATGTAAACTGCTCTGGTTAATAAGAATTCTCCAGAGGGAGGCAGAAGTGGCCAAAGCCATTTGCCACTCAAAGTCAACCTTCTGGAAGGCTATTACAGTGGATAGAAAAACTAAATAGTTCAAACCTGTTGAAGTTGTTGTTCCAGTTTGAAAGTGTTGCAATGAATATTGTATAAGGACAGATTAGCCAGTCAAGATTGCTGCTACTACCATGCAAATATCTCTGTGCAGTAGATTTTATAGCTTTTTACTGAGAGGGTTTTTTTATAAAGTGAAAAATGACTGATATATATAAGATGCTAAGAAATTATAGGCAGGGGAGGTTGTTGAATACTAGTACTGCTTTTTAAAAGATAATACAAAAATTTAGTCAACTTTGTATTTCAACACAATAGCCCAAATTAGATCCTTAAGCTGCAGCATTGATAGACTTTTCTGTATGCCTGATTTTTTCACTCATACTGGAGTAGAAACAAGAGATGTATATGTTCATTTAACTTGAAATATTTTTACAGGACCTGATTATATAGTGTAACAGAACCATTTCAAAGCAGCTGCTAACATAATGCTCTATTTGTACAACAAAGTTGTATTCAAATTTACTTATGCAAAACATGTAGAACTGAAGCTGGTAAAAATGCAATTCACTCCCATGAGTTAATATATCTTAAAAACTTGTGCTTTTTTGAACCAGCCATCTATTTCACTGGGCATAAGCTTTTCTATCTTACAGATATGGTATGATGCAATTGATTTGTATTTTGGAAAAGCTGGGACAAAACCTGTGAAGATATTTAAGCATCCAGTCCCTGCTACAGACTTCCCGTGCCTAACTAGGCATTAAGTGCTTGGGCATATCCAAGTAACTTGACCTTAGAGATTCTTGGGTAGAAATGAAATGGAAAACATTTTAGAAGGTAAAAATTACCCAGTGGAGCCTTTTTTTGCTCTTTCTAATGAAGGAATTGCAGATGATAATCTGCGATACAATAAAAGCATCTTCTCATCTTAAAAAATTATAGTAGTCAGGAACAGGTGGTCATGCTTTTCGAACTGTATATGATTGCTTGATCTGATAAAGACCTTTTATCAGGTCTTTGTGGAAGAATACATTGTTTTATAATGTGCTGCACTCTAACTGTTCAAGGAAAAATGGCCAATTTATCAGTAGTCTGGATGGCTGGCCACTCTTGAATTTTTCATAATCCTTTTTCTTTATATGCTCTGTTTAAAGAATGCTTTGGAAAACTTTCCTGAACTGACAGTGATCACTCGGGATTCTAAGACAAAAAGTGGAGGAACATCTGTGTCTAAGATCAAAATGAATGGTAAAGCTTACAACAAGAAAACACTGAGGGCTTCTAAATCAACCACTAAATTGGCACAGGTGAGTGTTCAGAGGGTTTATTGCTGCCACCATCTGACTTCTGATATCATAACTACATTTTTGGTAGACTTACCAAAATATAAAATCTTTGTTGAGTGAGGTGCTTTTTCTGTAACAAGGGAATGTTAAAAAACAACATTTAAAGCAGTATATGAAATCATTGCTTTAACTCATCTGTGAAACATAAGTATATTCCAGTAGGGAGACAAAATATAATTAATCATTTCATAATTATTCCCCTATTTAAGATTTATGTTTAGACCCAAATGCTCTTAGCCTGTATATTTATACAGCAAGTGTTCTGTAGGAACTACTCAAGATTGCAGGAAGACGAAGTAGTAGTATGCTGCTTCCCTTATGCAGGCAGCGGTTGGTAGGTGTAGTTGGATGGGAAGGAAAAGGTGAGCTCTGCTGGTGGTGTGCTTCTCACCTGTTGTGGCGTAACAAACAGCAGAGCGCTGCTAGAGCCCCTTCTGTCACCACCAGAGCAAGGACTGAACTTCAGACCCTGTTTCTGCATAGCGGTCAGCCTCCTGGACTGTTGCTGAAGCAGCAACATTCTGCCTTCAACACTGCTGTTGTGGTAAAATCACTGTGTTAGCTTATAATAATAACAGTTTCTTAAACTTGCTGCAAAGTCTCTCAAGTAAACGATGCAATGGCTTCTAGATCAAAAATGAAAAATTAATGTTAATACTGTAAAAACTGGGATTAGATAACACTTTAAAAAAACTTAGTTCTATATTGCTCCTTTCTTCATTTCCAGTGAAAGAATGAAGCTGTGTATCTTAAATTTTAAAATAAAGTTTTAAAAAGTAACATGGTAAAGCTTGCAATGTACATATTGTTTATTTCTGTAGTATTCCTAGGGGATGCTGTAACTAGATTTTGCTAGGTACTGGCTCACATAGGCTTACCTCCCAGCAGTAGATAGTGGCTAGACAAATGGCCTGTAAACATAGCCTACACTCATATTTCTTGCTGAAGTAACATAAGTGCTAGATAAGTATAGATCAGCTCTTCTGAAGCACAAAGTATATGCTTTTTTGCAATGATACCCATCAATCTGGTAGAAAAATAGTTAAGCTTTGGTAATTCTTGCAGTAGTTGTTGAGAAGGGGGTATTTTGCCCATTTTAGACTTCCATTGCTTTCAAGAGGATTGAAAGCATTCTCAAACCTAGTTTTGATAAAATAACACGGTAGGGAAA